ATGTACTCTCAAGAGTACATATTGTAGTTTGTAAACGGATCCTTCCCATTAAAAAAAGGTTATGGAATTAATTCCTCAAATCTAAGAGAATGACTATACTGAAATAAAAAGAGAACCTTATCAAAAAAAAATTCCTATTTTGGAACGGCATGATCTCACTTGAACAGCAATTACAATAATTTGATTTTAATATAATCACATTCAAAATAATTTACAATGTTACATACTTACATTACCCTCAAATCATACGATACTAACCATTTAAACATGAGATATAGTTTCCAAAACAAAAAGGAGATACATATATATATATTACAAAAAAAAAAAAGGAGATATATAGAAAAAAGTATACAAGAAAATAAGGAAATTATTTAATATTAAGTATAACATAATATACTTATTCATAATAAAAAACGGATGGCTAAAAAACATCTTAAAAAAATGGGTTACAAAATGAATAAAAAAATATATAAACTTATTCAAAATAAAAACAGACAGCTAAAATAAAAAATTAAATAATAACTATTTTATTTCCTCTGACTTCCTCCGTTTGTATTCTGATAAACACATGTATGATCATTGTTTTCAAAATATTTTTGAAACATTTAATGGACACAAATAATGTCATCTATTTATGATGAAAATGTGAAATGTATGTATGGACAAAATAAATATTGGGTCAAAGTAAAAATATTCAGTCAAAGACTAATTGAAAAGGAAACCGTGAATTTTTCAATTGAAGTAAGAAATAAAAGCCTAAATTTCATGAATGAGATTATTCCAGATTTATTTTGCATTTTTAACTTTAAGAAAAGGTTATTTTTTCTGCGACTATTGTAGATAAGTTATCTACATTGAGCCCAAAACGATATTGTTTTAGGGCAGAAATCAAGATATTTTTATAATTATAATTTATTTCAGTGTTATAATAGTCTTTGTCATTATAATTTTTGAATCTTTCAACCCAAAATAACGTCGTTTTGAAAGTGAATATATATAGATAACTTATCTACGTTCACTGCAGAAATATTAAAGCCTTAAAATAAATAAAAACATAGAAAGTATAACAAAAGAACAAGAAAAAGAGAGAAATACAAAGAGAAAAACAAATAAATAAAACGGACGCAACATGCGGGACAAATTTTGTTTCAAAATACAGATATTTTAAAGGGTATAATATTTCTCATTTTTTTATAGGAGAAAAAAATTATTTTATATACATACATAAAAGTGTGTGCGATTTATTTTATTTTATTTTTCTCTTTCTCTTCTCTTTACATGACCTCATTTAGACCCCACAAAATGTTATGTATGTATTGAAAATACTTTTATCTACTACAATATGAGAAACATTAAACCCTATATAAAATTAGTAAAACTTGTGATAACTAAAAAAAGGTTATGGATTAGACAAAAAAATTAAAATATTACTTTTTTAATAAATAATTACGAAAATATAGCTGTTTTGAAACTATTTACGGATCTATTGCAGTCATTCACGCCCAAATTGACGTTACTATTCACGTCCAAATTAGGCATGACTCCCAAGGCATTTACGCCTAAATTAGGCGTGACTCGTCTGGTTTTGATACGTGGCACAAAAATTTAATAATTTAACCGTAAAACTTTATAAGGCCATAACTTTTGACTCGGGTATCCAAATGAAGTAATTTTTTTTTACTCCACATAACTTTTCGAGATCTACGCAATGACATCTCATTTGATATATTTTATCTATCACATTGCAACAACGATACTATAAAGATGGCACCAAAGTGGATTAACTCATCTATAAATAAGGATACTTAATGTCATATTAAAATATATACTTCTACTAAGTGTTTGAAAAAAAATAGTGTACAAGGTTATTTACTTATTAAAATATATACAAATTTATATAATATTCTACCAAGTGTTTAGAATATTTATTTAATTATTTTCTTTATTAATACAGATTTTTCAAATTGATTTTTGAGTTTAAATCACAAATTAAATCTTTATTTTATTTTTCTTATTAATAATAATTTTCTTAAATTTTTTTGTAATACACTATATAATACAATTATTACAAATTTGAATTGTGTTTGTGAGAGATAAAATATATCAAATGAGATGTCATTTCGTAGATCTCGAAAAGTTATGTGGAATCAAAAAAAAAATTACCTCATTCGGATACTCGAGTTAAAAGTTATGACTTTCCAAAATTTTACGGTTCGTAAGTTGACTTTTTCTATGATGTAATTATGGAGAGAAATGAAGAATTGGTTAGTGTGGCAACTGTTAGGTGAGTATAGGATATGCTAGTAATAAGTATCTAGTAGATCATGTAATTGCATTTCCTTTTTTAGTTGCAGTTTTTTATACCTAGACTTTTCATGATATACTGACTTGCCATTTCATTTTCTAGGATATTTGGACGAAAGGTAGCAGAAGTACCTCTCGTAGCTACCAGATTTATGTATCTTGGACTTGGAATGTGTCGTATTTTAATGGATGAGCTTGAAAAGGTAATATATAAAGCACACAAATTTATGTATGAACACATTGATTTCTTGAAAAATTAAAAAAGAAATTACTTCATTGATTCTGTCATATATAATGCAATTTTCTTTTTGGGCAATCACTTAACTGCTCAGCACCCTACTTCATAAAGCTTGGTAGGACTAAAGTAGTGGAAGATTTTTCCTTTTTGAGTCATAAGAACACTCCAATCTCTATTAAAAATTTAGGTTTGATCACTATGCATATAATCGTTTTAACTTCGTCCATATTGTATATCATCATTATAGCGAACCCATTAATTATTTGGAAGTATGTGTTACTGTAGTTTTAAGAAATCATTCCCATTTCTTCTAACGTATTAGTATCTTCAAAATTATTTGACTGGAAGCTAAATTTCTGGTTCCTGTGGTTGAACTGTCACTCTTGCATTGCCTTGTCTTTCTCTTTTTCTCAAATTTCTTCTAATCTATTATCTACTATATATATAGCTAGTTCATTGATTTAATTTGCAGCTTTCATATATATATATATATCTGATCATGGAAGAAAGAGTATATAGCACTATGGAAGACCAAAAAGACCAAAAAAACTTCATACCATATAGTCACTGAAGTTGAAAATGTCTGTATTCAGTTCTGATATAGAATTTGTCTGCTATGTATTGTCATTGAAACTGATTACAATCTCAACTTTAACTTTATTAAAAAAATCCACAGTTCCAGTAATTTCTTTAGTATCGTTTTCTGACTTGAATTTTTCTTTCATCAGAACCTCATGCGACTAGGAGTGGAGAGGATAGTTTTGCCTGCTGTTCCTAATATGCTTGAAACATGGACCAAATCTTTTAAGTTCGTGAAGATGACAAGTTTTGAGAGATCACAATTTTTGGATTACGCTTTCCTAGATTTTCCAGGAACCGTCATGTGTCAGAAGCTGTTGACAACTCTTCCATCCCAGATTTGACTTTAACAAGAGCTTTGTAAGTTTGTTTAATAAAGTTGACCAACAAGAAGAGATTCACAAGAGTGGAATGATGGATATGCAAGTGGAGGAGTACATCTAAGTTCTAACTATACAATAAAATAAATCTGATATTGTATGGAAGACAGACTGTAATTAATGACAATCTGAACAATTCTTTTAGATGTTAAAGTAAAATTTGTTTTCATGGTAATTGATGTTCTTGCAATCTCTTCAGGGGCATATAACACACATGATAATAATAACTTCTCCAACATGGCTTGTCCTGAATTCTTGTATATTTAAATCAGTGACTACTTGAATCAATTCAAACCAAAAATAATAGTGCCAATCAACTAAAATGTATGACAAAAAAATATATTAAACAAGATTCTGAATGCAAGGAATTAATAAGGAAACTCATATTACCCATTCACTTCATGCATTCCCACATTATGCGGGTTCAGTGAATAAAAAGAACACCCAGATGACACATTGAGTGACATTCATAGCATATCCAATCATCCATTAGTTCTGATACACTACATAAGTATAGGTATCTAAATCTACAATTTCTTTAGTTAATTGACATTATTGTCCAAGGTAACCTCAATCTGTTATTACAACCATGCCTTCTTTCTTAAACGTCTAGCACGCCATGTTTAATTTCAACAAACCCTTTTCTAAAGTGTGCCATGCTTTTTATTTTTTAATAGTAAATTGCAAAAGACTCGGTGTATCATATTGAGTTACAATGTCAACAATGTTAAAAGTATCCTAAACGATCCAAGCCATTCCATCCTACAAAATCTATCTACTTCAACCCCTACTTACTCCCTCATGGGTAAAATAATCTCCATGATTTAGAGCTATCTAAGCAAGCATTTTTTATTAACACAAACCAATCAACAATATCACATATAATGCACCAGAAGACACTATATAACAAAATGCACAAACTGATCAACATATTCGACTCAATTGAACCACAACAAGTACTACAATAACAAATAAACAAGCAAACCAGTTCAGTACTCCCCATAAACCCCAACCCACATAAATACCCCCCCAATAGTTATCCCCACAAATCCCAATGTAAGCATATTTTCCTCACATACCTCAACTCGTGCATATTACTATTCCCTAATAGACCCACCATGCATGATGCCAATACCCCTCATTTGCAAAATTCCCAAGTTCAGCAAATTCAAGTATTCTAATTCCAATTTTCAAAACCGACAGCTGTATAATAACAAGCAAAAACACAGACTCAACTCCATTCACTGTAACTCACAAAAAATCGTATCATTACAAAAAGCATACCAAAGGACCAATGCTAAAAACACATAACTCTGCCCGAACTGAGAATGTCGTGCTATCAGAAAAAAGAATCAAACATAACCGAATTGAAATTGCGAGCAATAATATGAGCAAAACCGAAAACATAATGATCAGAGAGATCAGAGACAAAGCAAAATGATGAAAAAGTAAACAACAATGATTTAATATTCAAGTCTCCTTAATAATTATCAGTATGATATTTAATTACATTGTATAAATAAATTAAAGAATTAAGGCTGTACATGTGTTAAATAACTTTGAGAAATTGTTAGCTAAAATGTAAATGTAACTAAAGTAATAACTCTATTATTACCAAAATTGTCTTATAAAATGCAAATCCAACCACTCTATTATTACAAAAAGAATGAGAAAAGAATCACTCCATTGCGAGTGCAATTAAATACTCCAATCAGACGCTCTAGACTTAACAAAATTTTCCATCTGCATATTGTAACTATTCACAGCAACTGATAGTATCAGCCACCAGAAAAGCTTGAAGGTCTTTGACAGCTTGATCAACGGCATATACTATCATCTTCTTTATCTATTTCATCAAAGATAAAACTCCATCAGCAAACATAAAAAAGGAAAATATTATATTCTATCCTATAACTTATGAGGCTGATATTAATAAAGAGGAGAAGCAGAAGGAATTATATTTTAAAAGCAAATCACCTCAAGTTTATCTTCTCTAGCCTTGTGGTTCTTGGGAAGCTGACGGAACTCATTAGTTAAACGCAGACACTCATGAACATTTTCTGGGGACACGAAGTCTACAGCAACTTTTATGCATGACTGTGCAAGGTTTAACGTATGTTGATTAGAGCTAAAGATATAACCAAATGATTTGATAGTAAAGTAATGTAAAGAGATGTTTTACCTTGAGGTTCCTCACTTGATGTGGGCATCCAGCAGGAATAAATACAGCCTCCCCAAGTTTCTGCTCAAAAGTCCAGGGTTCTACACCTAAAAGTCAAGATTCGCATAAATGGCTAATTCTAGACACCCAACAAGAAATGATATGCAATTCTATGTACTAACCAAACTCCTCCTTCAGCTTCTTCTTGTGCTCCAAAGTCAAATAAAAACATTGGTCATGAATTGGATGAACAACCTAACCAAAAAAGAATTTGGTTTGAGCATCTACGCATAAAAAATAAGGATAAGCAAAAATGTAAATCATCATCATACCTGTTCAACCGGAGAACAATAAGTATGTCTAAATTCTTTTGAGTGTTTTCTTAAATATGTTTCTAACTTTTCAATATCATCTCTCCTAAAGATATCCCATAGGGCACCACCTGTTTCCGTTGGTTCATTTTCTGGAGAAATAGCAGCAAAAATGACCCCCTCAGACACATCATTTTGAAATATCTTCCCATTAATTTCAAAAGGGCGCTTCTCCATATCTTTAGGTTCTAAGACTTCCTTATCTTTTATATGTTCTTTGTTGTTATTGCAAGGTCCACCATTCAGGCATTCACCAATCCTCTCTTGTGCACAATGTTCTTTCTCATCTTGTGCCTTGTGTGCTTCTTTCAACTTTGAAATAATAGAGAGCTGCTCATCACTTAATATCACCTCGGCCGTATGGGTCAAAATATTCACCTAAGACAATTATTATATGATAAATTAGAATAAAAAGTCAATATGATTCCATTTAAAATTTGACAAAGGATGAAGTTTCCAAACAAAGAACCAAGTATACACCTCAAAATCACATGCATGCAAAAAAAGAATATTTGCACAAACTGAAATTCTCCTCCACGTCAAATTACAGTTAACACTAAGTTCATCTATTCTTTAGGAACCAAATTTTTATTTCCGCCATCTTACAATAGTTATACATATTAAGAAACTACAACATCCAACCATATAAAAAGTGTGATCTGAAAGAGAAAGAAGACTGAATAGATATATAGCGAGCATATTCAACGAAGGAGAATAGGCCGAGTACTACTTCAGCAACCAAATTAACACCTAATGAAGCTTGAAGCATACCGCATCTGACATATCACAGTGAAGTTTTGTTACAGAGTCTCCTCTACCAAGTTCTTCTTTAATCCCATAAGCAATGTATGTTTTTGGACCCATGTCAGGTTTTAGGACATGGGCTGGCAACTTTACAGCAAGATTGACAATTCCAGCCCCAGGATCAGTGTACTCTTGAAATGGCAAGGAACGAATAAACTCATCACAATGGCGAGGCAAAAGATTTTCAAATTTATCAGAGGGGGGCCAGTCTTTTAGCTTGAGCATCTCTGGCCAGAGATTTTGATATGTTCTTCCCTCAGTATAACCTTTAAAAAACTTATGAGTATTAATTTCTACCTGCAAAGGTTTAAAAGGGTAAATGTTGGTCAGAATTCTAGCATACTGCAGGAAATACAAACTCAAAATATTACACAAGATTTAAGAAGATGAAATACTAAGATGGCAGTTGAAGCTAAAAAAAATTCCCAGACAAAACACAACAGAGGAGGGATTTGAAAGGGAAAACTATAAATTTGGACATAATGTTCTAATTTGACCATATGTTCAAACCGAGAACCAAAAGGAACTGTAAGACCAAACCTCACAATTAGCCAGGCAATCAATGGCCTTA